ACCTCGAGAGGGAAGCGAGTCAACAACGTCAGTGGTAAAGGCGGGACTACAATGTTTGGAATGCCGTCCGAATTCACAGATAAAATGTCTGTAGATAAAACTATAATTGATAGGAAATGTGCACATTACGTTACGTAGAAAGTAATAGCCATGACCGAATGGTTTCTCATTTAGTTCGTGTAGTACGAATAGATACAATCTTGAATGAGATAGAAATTAAAGTTATTTAACTAGAAGTTATCCAAACTATCAAAATTGGCAAGAATTAAAAAAAAGACACCAATTCTTATATGTTTATGTCAAGATCTAGATTTACGATAGCATCTAATACTTTTCGTCTGAATCAAGAATTTTAAATAATACGTTGAATAACATTTATAAATATTAATTCAATATAGAACTTTATGTACAAGGCATTAGGAACAAAAAAAATATCCAATAAGAAAAGCACCCGAACAGTCAAAGCTGCACCTGCGTTACGCGACAAAAAACCTAAATACGATGCGCCTTTTATTGCTTTATTTCTTTCGAACGTTTCAAAAATAAACACAGATTGACTTAGTGATCTAGAAGTGCCTTCGTCTATGATATTTCCTGTTGTCTATTCACTATTTGCTGTGTGTGAGAAATTTTCTATGCGTTAATATATATTTACATACCTACATACTATTTATTTAAAACGTTATATGCACATATATGTTGCTTACTGGTATGATTTACTATGTAAATATTAAATTTTACATGTACAGCTACGGTATTCCACATGTGTTGAACTAAAATCTCTTAACCATACATTAAGATCCCCCTCAAGTCGAACACTTGAGTGTCTTGGAACATCGTCAAAGGGACACGTGCGTTGTGAATGGCTCCGGATGCACGGGCCACAATAGACACGAGATGTGCCCTACTGTTATACAGGGTTATGTTTAGATGGCTTTGATATTGAAATGCCTATAGGGGAATGTAATTGCGATTTATAAAGCTAGTATCGTATAGCAATATTTTTAACAATATTAAGAAACTGAACTATAAATATCACTATCATATCTGTTATGTCATGTAAAACATACGATAAATCAATAGGTATATCAAATATCTCCTTCAACGAACAATAAATATATATTAGCATTAGACATTTGCCCACGCGCCATGCGTCTACGATTTTTTCTTTCAAAAATATAAATTGTAATTCAAGTCACGCTGTACTTACACCATATGACAAAGTATTACCGAGGTACATCAAAAGTGTCATTGGACACATGTCTCAACAATGGAGCTGTATAAGGCGACTCAATTAGTCTGCGCGTACGCAATGCATTCGGCGATGCTTCCGGCAAGCGTTGATGTCTTTTAGAGCACTACTGAATACCTTATAGGGCTACGACCTACGTATTGCATGGGCGGACTAAATGTTTCGATTTGTGTATATTGACATACTCCATTTATTTTAGTCTTCGTTAAAGTTAGAAATATATGAGGTATGAGGATGTTTATAAACGTCAACAGTTCGAGTTCAATTAAATTCTAAAACATGACAATTTCATCGTAATCCATGATTATTATTGATGTTACAAGCTTTTTATATAGGGTTTACTTATGATTTTTTTAAATGTAACCGAAAAAATTACCGATAAACCGACTATAGCTCTACGAACTTATAAATATTTACAACAAAAATTGCGATAAACGTCGATAATCATATATATAACGATATAAAAACGTAATCATGTAATTATACAAAATTTAACTTCTGCTTTTCGCACTAATTTGTCTTTGGCGAGGGGTGATTTCTTTCATATTAATAACCTTCTTCCTCTAAATTAAACTTGCCATTTAAAAAAATGTAAACTAATTTGAAAATACAAAAGGCAAACGTCTAAATGGGACGGATGTCGAAAACGCCGAAAGCTTTAAGCTAATTACAGTTGTAATAAATAATTTTCGGCCGTGGGCGATGCGTTATTACTCCGATTAGTAATTTGTTTGCAGCTACCTGTGTTCCCGTGTACGTTAAAATTATTGGGCACGTATCATTATAGTCTTTAAGTTGTAGGTAGAAGAAAATAAAATATTGATTTGAATTAACATTTGGGGTCCGACGTCCGTTGCCTCGAGGCATTTTGAACCAGCCCTGTAATTAACGCGAACTAATTGGAATATTGTAATACGTCGAGATTATTTTGCGTGGGTCACAGGATACTCTTTTATTCTTCTCAGTATACGGCGCATGCAAATGAAGTTCAAGGAAACGAAGGACGCTCGTAGACAAGGCAAGGACGCTTATAGAATATTGTAAGGTAGATTTTTATCTCCAACACGAAAGCTAATTTAAATTATTATAATTGGACATTATTTTATCACTCATTTTGCAATTTATTAGTACTTATACACCTTACACTTGTCTGTCCTATTGATATTTTCTTCGTGCGAATTGTTAGCTACTTATAAAAAATACATTTGAGGAAATAAACGGAACAAGAAAAAAATAGTAGTGTTAATTTAAGTTATTCAAATTCAGTATTTTTTAAATAAAAATAAGAAGATAAATATTTTATTCAATCTTAAGCTTTATTTTTAAAACAAATCTTCCGGTTCTATAATCATAGTTTTGCTATGGTTGATCTTACTAGCTTTGTATATTCAAAAAAAAAAAAAAGAAATAAAAAGCATTAGCAAAGGCGTGTGCCCACGTCTAAGGGCTAGACGTACTTGGAAGGTTGTGGAAGGTCGCTCGGGCACAGATTATTTCATTAGAGTGGGCGCGGCACGCCACCTGTTCACACCGGATACCTCGCCTCGCGACCCCTCATCTGCCTCCACGAGAAAAACACGACCATCACCATTACCAATACGTTCAATATTACCACTTATTTCATTATGAGAAAGTACATTTTCTCTTTTACAACAGACTATAGATAGGCTTTTAAGTTAGCTCATACGGTCTCAGCATTAATTCTCAAGTGAAAAGTAGTAATTCAATATTGTGTCTTAGCATTTCTAAGATAAGGTACATTTTACAGATGTACGATTAGGATTTTTATCTTTAGAAAAGGACGAAACTGAAACGTCCCCTAAAACCGTCGCCCCCGGCGGACGGTCAAGTCTTGGACTTTCGTTAAAGTCACATCCGATGGGCACAAGTTTCGTTTGGTTAGTCGCGTGGAAATTGGTGGGTTTTATGTATAAGGGTAAATTAAGCACGCGAGGCCAATTTCATGCTTTGAAAGTACTGATTATATAATTAAGTACCGTAACATTTGTTCGTTTAAATAACTATACGCATTCACTAATTTGACAATGCGAACTTGTCTAATTTGCTTCTTATTTTTTGCATTAAGAAAAAACAAAATAATTCTAGTGCAGCCAGTGCATTTGTTAAGGCATTAGCATTCATACCGGGGTTGCGACTCCGTTAAATCATCTTCAAAAAGCGAGTCAACAACCCATACATTGTGTAGGTACAGTCCTTGCGAGTATTTTTTGTTTGCTACACAAAAGGGTCTATATCCGGCTTTTGAAAGATCCGTCCGAGACCGTTTCCGCGAAATCCATCGCAATACACAAGAAACGGGAAGTATATCCGGAACAACAAAAAAAGTATGTTTTCACGCCTTTAATTGTTGTAGGGTTGCCAAAGTTCTAATGATGTTCCAAGCAGTCAAACTTTTTACGTTGCGATTCGTTATAAGTATATTAATTATTTTTTTGTATAAATAAACAACTTACATGGTTGAAAATTTTACGAATGTTCATAGAAAAATAGTTAGTAATTTTAAATAAAATTTTAATCAAAAATAGTAACCTTAACTAGATACATACATATATCGTATATTATTCAAAAAACCTCTAAATTCTTCTCCATTATTATTTTCTAAATTTGGCATATAGGTAATAGGTACAATTGCCTTTTATCTTATTATAGTAGAAAAAAAAAGTTCCCACCGTGAACAGGTTGCCGAATGGCATGTCTTCCGGTCGGAAGTAAGTCTAAGACCGATGGTCCTTCGACACAAAAAGTGAATGGATCCGGAGCGCACATGGCCCTGCATTGTAGTACCCGAATCATAATGATTAACATCTTTCGGACGTCGTTATAATGATCTCCCGTAATCCACTTCTGTTTTCTTCGCCACAAAGGGCGGCAGGTGCGAACGACTTCCAACAAACACATTTCGTATTTCCCACGCTTGGTAGAAAGATGTTTCTTTTAAGGTTCACGTTGTAATTCACGCCGTGCAAAATTTTACTGCTGCACGGATTTGCGAATCTTTCAATGCAAAACACTTATTGATGTGCACTGAATTTATAAAGCACCAATCAGTTTTATATGCAAGCCAATATTGGGAAGTTCCACGTACGAAACTCTTGCATTATTTGACACTCGGCCACGGTAGCAACAACGTGTCAAGGTTGTTAGTTTTTCGTTTACTTAATATTATTTACCATAATATTACACTATAATATTTTTAGAGTCATATAACTTTATTATCAAAAAAATAATTGTGTCATTACTCCTCTTACCCGTTGTTATAATTTACACCAATTAAGTTAAAATATGCTACAGGATAATAAGATGTAATAGGCAATCGGGGATAAGATGTCTCGTACTTGCGTGACCGATATAATATTCTGCGGTTGCATTAAATTTAAATCTTATGAATAAGTACCAACATTAGCATTTCTGTCCTGATTCCCGATGAGGGTAAAATTATTAAGTGAATAATATCAATTATTGTGTTATATTGTTTTGGAAAGTATTCTTTTGTGGTATAATAGCTTTTGCCATCCGCACACTCGCGTAGTTTATATCGCTCCTAACCGTATCTTATAAGATGCAAAAATATTTTTTTCAAATCTGACTGGTAATTTCCAAGATAAGCGCGTTCAAACAAACAATCTACACAGCTTTATAATATTAGTAGGTATACTTATGGTGTTTTGTATTACACGTAAATTCTGTTAATATATCTGTGTCTAAAGCTCGACTATATATTTTACAGGTATCGGAAGAAGATCTTCCCGATTGCAGAGCACGGCAGGTGTGCAGCAAAGTGGATCTTTACGATTCAACGCAACCCTGGATTGAGAGGAAGTGTCGGTGTTTAGGGCATAGACCATGTTCTAGGTTAGTATTTATTTATTTAATATATGTATGTAATAATAAAAAAAAACAAATGACTACGTTTTTAATTTGTAAATGATTATGTGTTAAATATATAATTAGTGTTTTCATCTAACATTATGACAAAAAAGGCTTTGGTATCATAGTTTTAGTCATGTTGATTGCCAATAGCAGTTTCATTTTAAGTAAATACGAGGGTGTAGGTAGCAAGTGTTTTACACAGTTAGCGCATTACAAAATATCGAAATATTTATTATGTTAGGGCGTTTTCTGAAGGTTGCTTTCCATATGTCGTGTATGAGAATTGATCGTAAACCATGTAGGAGTATCATCCTTAGGCTCGACGGTACCATCGTGGGTAGATAACGGTGTCATATTAAAACACTGTGTTTAGTTCTTTCATTTGCATTAACCGGTCTTTATATATGTACTTGAATAAAATATGAATATGGTCTATTATAGTCACGTATCCATGGTAATCTTGATTGTTGGTGTTATGTAAACAAGCTTTATTTGGACGTACTGTTTTTAACACGTAATAACGTAATTTTTTAATCATTTTTATTATTTAGATATACTAGTATGTATTATAAGATACCTATTTTGTTTTTAAGTTTAAACAAAAAATTTAAAGGTACTTATTTACTTTATGCATTCGTAATTTATTATTAAAATCAAAATTTCCTTATTATAGGACTTTTATTTATTATAGATAAAAGAACAAAGCTTAAACATATTCTAAAAACATCTAAACATCATCTAACATCTAGCCTGTTTGTTTTGTATAAAAATCTATAAATAATATTTTCTTCTATTACAGTGAGTTATCTGATGACGACAACCATACACTAGCGGACAAAACCACGCTCTACAAAACCTGTGAGCCAGTGAAGAGATTACCAAAGTGCCGGTATTTCAAAGATGCTGCATGGATCATCTATTCGTTCCCGGACAGTAACGCCACACAGCAAATTGTCAACTGCCACTGTCCGAAACAATCCGTTACGTATCTCTTGAAGAAGCTACCGTATACGACACCTAGCGGAGAACAGGGGAACCAGTACCAGTTCGCGTGCTCGCCGCAGAGTGTAAGTTGCTTGTAATAATACTAACAGCTGCTAGGTGGCGCTGTACGATATAAATTAGTTCGAAAATTATATTAACTATAAACTTCTTAAAAACATTAAAATAAATACTTTTAATAGTTATAATTACATTAAAATTGTTTAAAATAATATATATTAATGGGCATTTTTCTTAATAGAGATTGCGGTGTTCGAGAAAGGAGCCATGCAAGCTTTTTAGTGCGAGACGTCGTCATGAGCAAATCGACGAAGTAAATGCTAACACAATATGCCAGTGTCCGAGGGACCACACTTGCCCCAAACACCACACAGAGCCTGGCGTGCTTCCCGGCGTGACGTACATTGCTGAAGACATTCGCACGTATCATGGCTACTGTATGCCCGATCCTCCTCTCGATTCATACCGATTTGTTGGTGACAAAGACTGAATAACTGAAATATTTTATTACAATGTGATCGCTTGACGTAACCAGTGTACATTCGAATTAGGCAGCTTATATTGCTCATTACCTGTTTAGTACAAAAATTAGGTCTTCAAAAATACCTTGTTTTAATAGTTTAATCTTGCAAACAAAGATCTTTGTATAAGTTATATAAAACAGTGATACTGATTGTAATACCATCGACGCTTTTTAACGTTAAATGTTAAAGTAAATATTTTTAACTATGTATTAACTATTATATTATTTAATTGGGAAATATAACTCGATAGGATTTTAATAGTTTTTAACTAAGTTGTAGGTACGTGTAAAGAGCGTCGATGAATACTGTGTATATATATATATACTGCGTAGTGTTTGCTATTACGTATTGTTTGTTATATTTGTAAATAATAATATTAGTTTAAGTATCATTCCAAACGTTTAGTTTAAATTATTTTTCATATTTTAATTATTTACTTGCCATACTTACTTAGTTGTTGCGTTTTTATTTGTACAAGTCTTTGACTTAGCATTTGTTCCAAGTCTTCCAAGCGAGAAGACGCTTATGTTCATTGTTTTGTTTGTGTTTATTGTATAATAGTTTTATACGATAATAAATCGATCGAGAGCCATATTTTAAGGGTATATTAGGTATTTTAAAAATATGTGATTTTAAAAATACGTTCGTTTATTAAAAGATAGACCGGTGAATTTTTTAAACATACATACTATTATTGATTACTTTGAAGGTATAAATAGATACCAAAAATTGAATTTTTGGTATTTATATTGCCTAATGCTTATATTTACGCGTTTTTAATTATGATTTTGTTAGAACTGTTACTGTTTGATAGATAAATGTTAGGGTTTGCGAATAACAAATATACATATAAAAGCCCCGCTTAGCTATACTTAGTACCAATGCTTTCAAGTAAGCTGGGAGCGTTGTTAGCGAATCGATGGAAATGTAAATGGGAATAATGGCTACCATAAATGCAAGTGTTTTTTTTAAAAAACACCGACAAGTCATATTATGTATGTATATGTAAATATGAAGAGTGTTAATGTTTGTAAATCATACCGGCATAACGGTACGTCTTCCTTATTTGTTTCATGTATAGGTATAAATAAGTTAAATTATTGACAGAAAACGAATAAATGGTTCCAAATTATGATTTGTTTTATTTAAGACCTACAAAGTCTACTATTGCGATCTCAACTAGAATTGAAAAAATATATAATATTGTATGGTACTTCTGTGCCTTTTATCTTTTCTTCTAAATTTTTGTATGAATTTGTGAGTAGACATCGTTTGTAATAATTAAATTGAAATACCAGGAAGCAGAAATAAAAGTAAAACCGTGTAATAGTCCGGATAATAGTTTATTAATGTCAAATATTCGCGTAAATCTAAAAAGGTATTAAAATCTACAGTATATTTCAATTTTTCAACAATTACGTATTATCTTTACGTTTTGAGTCTCTATATACACTCTATATAGAGGCTTATATACAAAATGTATGTATGTCTGTGATAGACTGTTAAATATGTATAAGTTATATTTATACAAATATATACGAAAACTCGGCTATTTATGTTTCATAAGTATCTTATCAATTATACAATAACCCTTCCTAAACGGATTAAATGAATAATTAATAATACTGAAATATTTACATAAATTACGAATTTACACGATTACCGTTCATTATGGAAATTTTATTATTGTCATTTTATATGGTTGGTGGTTTTTGCATCACAGGTGTTCAATTGAATAGGTGTTAAAATGTGCCAGAATGTTTATTGAGGAATGATATATAATATGATATTTTTTTATAATTATTGTTAAATTATGCATTCAGATATAAAATGTTATGAATATATATATATATATATAACTTATATATATATATATATATATAATATATATATATATATATATATATATATATATATTCATAAAATATATTCATAAAATATATATATATATATATATATATATATATATATATATTCATAAAATATATATATATATATATATATAGTATAAGATAAGTTTGTTCGTTTGAATGCCTTAATCTGTGGATTACTACTAGTCTAATTGGAATAAATATTTTTTGTTTGTTAAAGATGTTCTAATATTCACGATCTCTACGGCTTACTTCATAGTACTAAAGTTTATAATAAAAAAAATGAATTCAAATAAGATTTCGCGTTTCCACAAGTTGAGAAAAACGGTTCAGGAAGAAGTCTACCAATATATTACATGAAGCGTATTTCAATACAGACTTATCGCCCCGTTTTATTACAGATGTATTATGTATATTGAAGACAAGCCCTTGTTTCACCGAGGCCTTAACGGCATCTTCGATTTGCCTCGACCGCTTTCTAATTATTTCCATATATAAATACATTTTGCACCCGCTTTGAATTTTTTCAGGATAAACAATTTCAAAGCGAATGCAAAAGCTTTAAGTTCTAAGCTTACGATCCTTTTAAAATAGGTTTAGTTTTTTTATGTAGAATGTAAAATGTGTAGAATATCTTCTATCTATATCTATATATCTATATTATATATATAAATAAAAATGAATCACCGAAATGTATGTACGCCCATAACTTCGGATCGACTGCACCAAATTGGATAAAAAATTTTTTGTGTGGAGAGGGAGTCAGAAAGTTTTGTTTGTATAGAAAATTAAAGGAATATTTTATTTTAACTAAAATAATATTTTTTTAAATCTTATGATATGGAAAGTGAGTGAGTGAAATAGTTTTAATCCCGGGGTGAGAATGGGGATGAAAGTTTGTACAAGGTAGTAATTATAATTATAATAAGCAAATCTCTTTCTTAATATACAAAAAACATTTTTAATAAATACAAAAAAATACTTTATGTACAGTGATGTGCCATAATATTTGTTATTATTGGTTAATCTTTTACATCAAATAATCTTTGATTATTTCAAATAAATCTTCGGAAACACAGAACAGAGGTTTAAGACCATAAGCGAGAATTCTCGAATTGCACTCCAGTTCCCATAAGAAATGACTCGGCCAATAATGTTCCGACCACATCTTGAGGTTACTCTATGAGGCGTGAGGTAATAAGAGACTGTGTTATTGGAAAATTGGAACAATAGTTGCTGAGTGGTATACATGTGGAGTATTGTCTGTAATTTCAATCGTAATTACTAGGTGTTCTTAAAAAAAAACTGTGTTTTTCTTAGATTATGTGGCATGTATAGGTTATACGACACGTCTGGCTCAGTTTGTAGTGGCCCTACTTTCTGTGCCGGCGGTAGCGGGTTCGAGTCCCGCTGGGGTCATTCATTTGTGTAATGACAAAGGTTTGTACTCCAGTCATGGATGTTTATATTTATAATATGTATAATATGTATGACTGAAATAGTCATTATTATTGATAAAGAGGCCGAATCTAACGTTTTTAGTTGTATAATATTAAACAGGTAGAGTTAATAGGCTGCAGAGTGAGATAAGTAATAAGTTGCTCTTTATCAAGATATTTGATAAAATTAGGTTATTTTAATATTAAAAGTGATAAATAAAATACTTTTTTTTTTAAATATCATATGTGTAGATAAAGAGTATAAGAGTAGGTACTATGATTAACTATAAATATTTATAAGTAAAATCTCAAAGCTTTTTCTTTATTTACTCTCATTATTTATGAGACAATACTAAAGAATAAGCTAGTACCTACGCGTCAAGCCGCTCCATTAGCGAGAGCTCTGTATATATTTTTCAATGACACGCACACCATAAATTTGCTTAAGCGTGAGTGTCACGTCTTACAGGACAAAGGTATGGTAGATAAATAAATCTTAAATCATGCTTTAGTAAATATTTTTTATGAAAACAACCTATACTATAAGACGTGTTTGACTCAGTTTGTAGTAACCCTACTTGCTGTGCCAGCGGTCACGGGTTCATGTCCCGCTAGGAGCATTCATTTGTGTGATGAGCACGAATGTTTGAACTCCAGTTATGGGTGTTTATATTTATTATATGTATTTATTAAGTTATATATGTGTAGTGTATCAACTGTCTGCTATCCATAACACAAGTCGCGTAGCTTACCATGGAACTAGATGGTGCTGTGTGTTAATGTACCAACATATTTATTTATTCTAAAGCAATCCGTAAATTTAAACAATAATTATAATAATTATATATATATAGAGACACATTTAAAAAAAAGATCTTCATTCAAGGAAATCAGGTAGATTTGGAAAGCGAAAAATATTTTAGGTATAGTAAGAAATTACAATACAAAACAGAGATCAAGACAAACCATAAATAAATCAATCGATAAAGGGCTTGAACTTTGCAACTTTCTCTGGCTTCTTCTCAATTATTATTCAAAATAGGCAAATGTATAGGCATTCATGTCAACTTTCAGTTCTCGATGACATTATTTATTTGTATTTTACATTCCTTTTCATATTTACTGAAAGAAAAACCAAAATATCTTCATTTCTTTGAAGTGATAAAGCATTAATCCCTCCACGACCGCGGACACGCCGGCGTGTCAGTTAACAATAGATTTCTTAGAATTTTAATTAATTTCTTAGAAATTTACCTGGAGGTGATAAGTACATATATGATTTAACGTACAAAGTTATTTTTTATTGCAAGTTATAAGTGATGCTAATAAAACCGTGCTTAAACTGAGCTTTTAACGCATGATTACAAATTACAATATATATGACCATACTTATTTTCCATTATTTCAAAAACCAGATGGAATTTTAAAATATAAAAAATCTATTTTTAAGACAGATTTTCACAACTGTGATCAATTATTCTATATTAACGCGGGCTCGGGTTGCACCATGGCATGGCGGGTATGGACCATGGCAAATCAATAATAACATAACAAATGTTATAAAAAGGTATGCGATTCCCGTTAATTTCCCATAATAAACCCCCTTATAAACATTATGGAGACGCGAAAAAATTGTCTTTATAATGTACGTAA